CATAATCAAGTCATGCAAGTGAAAAGTGGTTATTTGGAAGTGTTTAATTTGTATTTCTAAACCTGTAAAAACTTTACACAGCAGCAGGAAGGCATTAGAAGTTTTGGTAAGGTGACTTCTAGCAGATCCTTCAAAAGCAGTCCATGAGTGTCCAAACAGATCTCATAATACATTAATGTCATCACAGAGATGGGAGGGAAGGATATTAGCGCAAGTTACTGATGTAATAAACTCTAAGAGATGCACAGAGCTCCTACCATTTAGCAGACAGATGTATCATGCCATGCTAATCATGGAGTGTGATACCGCAGGCCTGGTGGACTGGGAAATCACCCCAAAAAGAGAGTTAGCATTGGCATTACAAAGAGCAAGTGAAAGAACAGAGAATGCTTTGAAATGTTTGCATTACAATCTTTGATTAGGACGATGAACTGCCTTTAATGTACAACTATCTTTGCACTGAAGTTTTACTATATCAATTAAACTAAACATGAAACATTTCAAAAATTTAAAAAATAAAAATTAAATTAAATCGTCTGTTTACTTAATCTACTCTTCCCTTCTCTGGAATGGTCACATATAAAACACAGTGGCAAAGGAAGAATCTTAGCCTTCAGGGCAAATATAGACCATCCTTGCTTTTCCAATGCTGAGAATATTAATAGCATATTCTATGGCAGCTGTTATTACATGAAAAAAAGAAAAGTGCTCAGTAGTACTTTGAAGCAACATACGTAGCAGACAAGAGTCAGAAACAGAAAATTAGATGTTCAAGTTATCTGAGCAAAGAACCATTTAGTGCTGGGAAACCATGAACTACAACCGAGAAAAGTCCCACCCAAGATTCCTGATGCAACAAGAGCCCAAAGGGACACAATCCGGGTGCAGTCTGCATTTCGTGCTACTCTGTGACTTCACTTTGGCTTCACAAATATTTGAAAATCTCAACCCCAGGCCCACTCGAGAGATAGAGTGAGACTGAATGGCAAACACAAGACAAGTTCTACCACACCCTGACTCTCCTTTCTCTGAACCGGTAACTTTTCTCTGAAGAAGTCAAGCCAACCAGCGATGTATTTAAATCTTGGGCACCTTCTCAAGCACCCAAGAGATGACGACAATGTTACGCTATGTAATGGTGCCATCTCGTGGTAATAATAAAGATGACACTGGATCAACTTCACATTTTCAGTAGTACACTGCAGCCATTGTGATCATTAAAGACAACACATTAAAACAGGTACCTCTTAATTCTTCCATGTCATTTAAGTTTTACGGTGCATGTTCATCACTAAGACACCCATAAGCACAAAAGAATCCTGTGATCATTTACAACCACAGGTCATAGCAGCTGGGAAATGGTAACCCGTAACGGTCAGCGTGATTGTAACTGTAACTGGGTCTCTGATGATGTTCAGGCTTCTAAGAGGAATTTGACAACGGACAAGAAGAATGAATCAAGGTCAGGAAAATCTCTCTCTCACACAGACAGATCCAAAAAAACTGCTGCTCACTGATGTCATGACAGATCACAAGTAATCCACCCACGCACTGAAACAATCTTAATAGTACCAGAGCCATAGCTCAGTATTAAACAGAAAAGCAAAATCCATCATAGGAGACTAAACCAAAATTAATCCAGACTACAAAAATCGGGTGCATCTGCAAACATAAAACTTCAGAACAACTTGCCAATGACCATGGCAGATTTCCCACTGCCCAACATCTGAAAATCAAAACTGTCAAATCAAAACAATCTTTGTAAAAAATGGGTTGTTTCAACCAAAACCAATGATTTTTGATACAGCAACCATGTGTGAAATTGTCTGGCTTACATTATGTGAAACATCATGACAGATTAACGTAATGAAATTTCTAGCCTTAAAATCCATGTTTACTTTTCTTGAGAGCGATTCAAATACTTACTTTAGTTGGCACACACCCACTCAGATCACTGCTAACATTAATGTTCATGTCTAACACCTTACGTGTAGGCCAGAGTTAAGTGTTTATGCTTATAAGAACAATAGGTACAAATTTCCTTTCAGCAGGTTCTGCCATTTCCTTCTCCACACACACACCTACCTCCTTGTCTCCTAAGTAGAAATACCATCGTGCCAAGCCACAAACACCAGAGTGTAGATTCAGAGATTAAATCCAAGGTTTTGAAAACTTAACTCCAAAAATTGGAATGCTCTTTCAAGCCTTTGCCAACATTTCCAGCACTCTGAAAAGATCCTACCCTTGAGTAAATGCAGATTTCTGTTAAATAAAAGAACTTCCACCACAAGAAGAAGATGTTTGTGCTGTTGGTTGGGGCTTTTTTCTATTATGTTCTATTAAGACAGTGAAGATATTGGATCTCTTTCTGCTTCAGATTCTCTTAGGATTCTCGTTATCTCACTAAGAAGTGCTTCAGACTGCCAAGAACGAGTTGCAGGTCCAAGTATCTAAATTAATCAGATCCTTTAAAGCACTAATATAACCAGGGGAAAAAAGGGGAAAAAAAGAGAAAAAAAAAGAAAAAATCGAAAAAAAGAAACTCAATATTCAGGCTAATTGTTCTGTAAGTCAGCATTTCTGAAATAATATGGAGCAAGCCTATGTCCTTCTGCTACCTGTAGCCCAGGAGTTTAGTACTGTTATGTAGGACCTCAGACCTCCTGGCTCTGGTTCATTACTGGATATAGATAATGGGCAAATGTCTGTATCCTCTTATTCTACTGTTTCTGCTCAGTGTGTTTCATTTGCCAGGCAGGGCAGATGAACTGAATGTAGAACATCCCTAATTGTCACAAGTTTTGATTAGAAGGACGGTGTGATCACTTTCTTTGATTAGAAAGTACCAACCATCTGCCAACATCATCTCATGAAATGCACCTTTGCTTACTTTTAGAATATGCCCAGCTGCCATCATGAGCATTTTTGATGAAAAAGCATTACTTAGAAAAGAAAAAGCTAAACAGAATCAAGGAAGACAATTCTTAAATGGAGGAAAGAAGCAACATTTCTGTGAGAACAGCCAGTAAAGTGGCTCTTAATACAGCCAGTGGATAATAGAGAGGTGAAACAGAAATTCAGTTTGGGAATATCGAAAAATTGCTGGTTTTCCCCCCGACTCAGAGTGTCCCTAGATACAGAATGAATTTAATCAAATTAGGTGTCTGCCCATTCCACACACAGTACCTTCCATCTTCTTTATTCTAATACAAATTCATATAGAGTTTCCTGGGGCCATCTTAGATACAATTGTCTTGAAAGACTTAAATCAAATTAAACTTCTTAACAGTCCCCACTTGCTGGAACAACTCCAGTTTACCTTAACTTGACAACTATAATATAGGTCATTAAGTATAAATTAGACATGAGGCCAGTTTGCTAGGCTACTGCAACTCCAGAATCAACTTTCATGAGGAGAGATATAAACATTTTCTATCATACTTAGGAGCAACTGGTATTGCAACTCTTCACAAATACTGTATTTTTTTTTTTTAAAAAAAGGTATGTATTTAACCATACACTAAGTAAGAATGTAGGCTGCTTGCACAGAAGGACATGGAGTTTCCAGCAGTCTTTATAGCATGCCCTTTGTGAATTGATGAATCAACAACCTGAAGATCAATTGATTATAAAGTTAGTTCTAAATGCATTCTCTTTGAGACAAGAGAACCATAGCAACATGATTAAGGCTGGCACACAATTCAGTGTTTTAATTCTCTTGGCAAAAACTTGTAAGTTCCAATTATAGCATTTTTTTTAATTTTTTTTAAAGACATGCCTAGAAAGGTCTGATTTTGATGTCTCTCAGGCATATGGTTTACTGAGCAGCTCAACAGGAAGAGTTACTTGGATACATGAATAAATGCTATGTTAAATCACGACCTTAAAAAGAAAACCAGGATGACAGGGCTATGTGTGAGCAATTATGCTGTACAGGGGGAAAAATATACGTCCCTACAGTGTACCTACAATGCCTGCCTACAGAACTGTCTCCCTGGAAATGCTGGATTAGTTTCTGGAAAGAAATAGCTACCTCTCCTTGTTCCAAGGCACCCACTTAAGAATTATAGGCTGCTGGAACTATTCAGGTTCATCAAAATACTACTGCTGTTCACCACTGAGGATACCTCTTTGCAAAGCTTCTCTGCCACTCAACTAAAGACCTGATCCTTAAGAGTTTCACCTGTAATCATTAATACAGCATTCAAGCTTTAGAAATTGCCCACTAAAAAAAGAAAATTCTAATACAGAATCAGCTTGTGGTGAAAGAACAAAATCTCTTTACCAAGCCATAACATGAGTAATCCAGTGAAATATGTTTTACTTCCAAGTTAATTAAATGCAAAACATTAGGAAAGAGCCTACAGGAAATAAAACATGCAATATATAATCTACACAGAGTTCTACACCCTGAACTTAGACATAACATGATCACAGTGCCTGAATTTAAAGGCAGTCTAAGGCCTGTAGCTTGCTCACTTCTCTGTACCAAACTTCTTCATTAATGGACTTTGTATGCCATTCTGTCCACCACAGGGTTCGAGGCAGATTTTTCTGCTAGAAAAAACTCAAATAAAAGCAATTCAAGATCAATTGTTCTCTTTGAAAGGAAGGTTACAGCTGTCATTCTCATACCAACGTGTGTTGCGATATCTCGCTTCCATAATGCAGGATGTGGTTTCCATAGAAATATCTTCTTACATCAGTATCTACAAGCCCTCCAATTATTCCCTTTTGGACATCTCATGCAATCAAATAAAATCTTTTCAGAGCAGGGAAATAACAAAGCTCAACTACTACTTAATTACTTGGTGAGAAGAAAAAGAAAAGGACAATTAGCAAACAAAAGCTTTATTTAAAACAAAACACAAGATGATGAACATGTGTCTTGCAAAAAAAAATTTATATCTTACCTGAAGAAATCTCTCCAGTATTACAAATTATGAACAATCACAATTTTTAAAACCACACTGAGATTTTGCTGATTTTTGAAAGTGCAGCTATGGTATAATTCTACATTGTTTGGTGGCCTTGTCTCCAACTAAGCCCCTGGGGCCTGCTCTTTTTCTGAATCCTTTGTATTGCTGGGTGTTGCCTGCACCTTGTTCTAAATCCTCTTGTTCAGGACCCTGTGAGTTTAGATTCCCTGCTGCTGCTGTGTCATCTTTTTTTTCTGTGGCATCTCCTGCCACTTTCCCAACACCAGGAATGTATTCAATGCCCTGAAATTAGAACCAAGACAGAGGGAACACCAAATTATACACAAACAACATAAACAATGACTTGATCCTGATATAAAATGCCTCTGTCAACCAAGGCCATCGTAAACATGCAAGGCAAGAAACTTAGCTGCATTGATTGATAGAACAGCTTCGTTCCTGCAGCTCTGCCTGAGTTCCCAGAAGTGTCAGCATAAAGAAAACTGGGAGTTACACGGAGCCTTGATCTGGCTGGGTGGGCTCTGAAGCCATGACCACAGCACATAACGCAAGAGTGTGCACCACAGGGGCCAGCGCTGTCATAGCTCCCCCAGGAGACCCGTGTCTGAAGAAAACAAACTGATTTAATTGTGTGGCAACCAAAATGTACTGGGGAAACAATCCCTACAGCTCTTTGTTTTGCTTCCACTCGTCTCTCCTTTTTCTTTATTACTTAAAAAAGCTTCATTACTGTCATTTGTTTTCTCAGATACATGTACCCCTTACAAGGTTTAGGCTTCATTCAAATCTCTCACTCTGTTTCAGGCCTCCATCCCGTAAAAAGCTAAGCACAGTCAGATCTGCAGCTCAGTAGTGGGATAAAATAATTAGGACTGTAAAGAGCTTGGATTACTCATTCTAAAGGTGTCATACTCAAACCCCTGCACAGGCACAGGAAAAATCACAGTGCAGTTCAGAAAGCCAAACCTTGGAATTTGCTGTATGCCAGCTTGGTTACAGTCCCTTATCTTAGCAAGGATCAAACTAAAACATTTAGTGAAAACTATCCTGTACTCTTTAGCCTCTCAAACTACTATAGCTATATAAATTAGCTATATGAATAAATTATATGTGTATATATATTATATAGCTATGATTACCTACATAAACTTATGGGTCAGTAGTGAAAAACCACCTATAGTTGTCTGTGATGGTCTCTCATATTTAAACCTCACTACTTCAGTAAAAATGGAAAATGCCACTGATGAAAAAGAAAGTCATAAAATAGCAAATTAGCCACTGTACCTTACTCATCTGGTCCACATCTGATTTACTGGGTTTACTGGTTTGAAAGTCAGCTTCAGCCTCTGGAGAAATGGGGCAAATAGTTTTGCCCCAGAAAGAGATCAAAAAGGAAAAAATGTTAACAGACTTCCATGGCAATTTTCATTTAAAAAACACACCAAAAAAGCCACCTGAATGCTACTGTCAAGCCATTTCGCCGTGCTTTTGTTAATTAACCAAACCAGGGTACCCAATGACACTACCACAAAAGACTAAGGTGAACAACTATACTAGAAAGAAAATGTCTCTGGGTCTTTCTTAGCTTGAAATTTCTGCTAAATAGATAATACATTCATCTCTTACACCAAGCAAACCCAAATCCCTTCCTCCCTTTCAGAAAATGCAGATACTTTGATCAATTCAGATAAAGGATTATAAGCGATCATTTGAAATTGATTTTAATTCTTGCTCAGTCTTCTTATTTTTTTGCATTAGCTTTACCTTTACATGCTTTATGTGTATTACTGAACTACTTCAAAACAGTTCAATTCGCTGCTTCGTAGATTTAGCAACTAGGAGCAAATCATGTTAAATGATTTCTATTCCTCCAATCAGCCCCAGAAGAGAAATGTCACTGTGTTCCTGCTACTGAGACTATTTGCTGTAAATAAAATGTCTCCATTTTTCAAACAATAAGAATTAATTCAGAATGAACGATTGCTGCTATGTGTGACAACGGCTTTATTCTTACAGATATATATACACACTTGGAGACAGAAATACATGTGTGTGTGTGTGCGTGTATATGCCTATGTATCTCTGCACATCCAAACTGAAGTATCAGTTGCAGTAAACAGAGTGCTGCAGTTTATCTGTACTGCCACTAGATGCGGCCATATTACCTTGTAAAATCTAAAATTCTGACCTCAGGGTTATAGAAACCTTTTTTGGAATATCTATGATTGCAAAATTCTTACAACAACATTAATAGTATTCAATCCTGAGTACTGGCTGAAAAAATGTAATATGAGCAGAATTTTCAATTTTTCTTCTCAATAATTTTTTCTAAAACATAGCATTGCAAATGTTGATGGGGATCTAAGAAATCAAAGCAGAATAAGACTTGTCTATTTTTGTGGTTGTTGCCATAGATCCAGATTGGAGCTGACAATATTGAATTACATTGTGTTTTGCTTTCTACATAGCAGAGCAAGTAGGAATTAAGCACTGTGTTCCCAAGTGATCCCCTACAGATCTAATGACTGTGCGTGTATGGAACAGTTAAGTGTACAACTCCAGTGGTTTCCATTTTATGCCACATCATTTTCCTCTCTATGTCCCTATATCACAACTCTGGAAACACAAGCTTCTCTTTACGTGTATGGTAAGCAGCACGCTAGGTCAGATGATAAAGGATTCCTGCATTGAGAAAATATTTCTGCTTTATCTACTACTAACAGATAGCATGAATTCCTGGAAAATTCTTGTGTTATTTCCTCACCAGCTATCAAACCAAGCTATGTAGGAATAACACTGCCTTTAGGACAAAGCAAAACCAGGGAAACTCTTCCCTAGTTTTAGCAGGCATTTTCTATCCTGTACTCTCTCTTGGTATTTCCCTGGGTGCATAATATGCGCAGTACTGGGATAACACAAGCACAAGAAGCATGCAAGTAGATTCCATATGTGAAACAGATATAATAAATGTATTACACACTGTTTTAAATACTGTTTTTATAGTGAGCTGATTTTCCACTGAAGATGGATGAAATAAAGCCTGTTCAGCACATTCAGTGTAAAGGAAAGTGATGCCCAATGAGCCATGCACCAGAGTGGAGAACGTAATTTAAAAAGCAGATCTTTATTATATATTTTAGTGCCAAATTCACTTGCTTCTGCTCCCTTCCACTATAAAGACCACATTGCAATTCACAATCCATATAAATATGTATAAACCCTCCCCCCATTTCTGGTTTATACTTGCCCTCCTTCCTCTTTTTGTAGATACGAGATATCTCATTTACGTGCAGAACTGGCCAAGGCAGTTCCCAGGCCTCACATGGGTTTTTTTTACAGACAGCCATTCTTGTGAAATTATATTTACCCATGTTTTGGGTTGCTTCTCTTTGTTTGTTTCTGTACAAGATGTCAAAAAGAAGAATGACAAAAGAAAGTATACTCTTCTCCAGGATCCACTTTCTGTTTGCTGATGTGATCGTAGTTCTCTTCACTTAGTAAACTTAACTGAGCAAGATGGATTAAAAGAAAGTGCAACACCAGTTTTTGTTGGTTTAAAGCATGAGGAATATAAATATAATGGCTTCAGAGGAACCCAGCCTGGGGCTAAATTCTGACTTAACTCTCCTGTGGGGTGCTGCAGACAAGATGAAACGCCATGTCTCAACTGAAGGTCCCCAAGACAGTACAAAGCAGGATAGATGTGGGAAGGCATGGGAGCAATTTGCTCTGCAGCACTCCTTGCTGCACTTCCAGAAAGAGACAATGTGCGCCCTTCTTTTGGAACCTAATGCTTATCACAGCTTGTGCGCATGCAGCAGAGGGGCTTGTCTGGATCCCCAAGCCAGCTGAACAGATTACATCAACAGGATCCCCATACAAACTGTCAAAAGGTTTTCCTACTCTGTTGCTATCTTTTGTGAAGTAGGCAGAAAATGCTCTCAGTAAGAAGGATTTACCCTGTAGGAGCGTATTTTGAATCTTCCAAAAGCCATAATGAAAATGTTTGTGTTTCCATCCAAGAATGGTATTGGCAACAAATTGAAGGTAATTAAACACATTGCCCATTGGCCATACAAATTTCTTCTTTGTAATAATTTAAGAGAAACAAATCCCTCTCTATAACCCAGACATTGTCTTGTGCAACAGGAATTTTTTGGGCTAACTTCTACCCTGCTGTAATTGTACTGCAATGGGAGTTACAGCCACTTTATGCCAAGACTGTGCTTTGTTCAGTATCTCTCAGATGCTCTGTAGTTCAATTTCATTACCTCATAATTTCTAAGAATTGTCCTGTTTACTGGGAAAAGACCAGTGAACTGGACTTGCATGCTCAGTAGTTTCTCCATGTGCAAACAGAGAAACACCTATCTATTATCACTACCTAACCCTTGATTTTTGTTCTTATCTTTATATAACCAACATGGCTAAGTACACACTGTTTATTTTAACTCACTTCCTGAAGGAGATGACTCCATCTGAATTTTTAACCAGATATTCACTCGCTGGTTCCAATCTCCTGGTGCTTCCACCTCCCACAGTCGCTTCTGCTCCTCAGGATAAGTCTGCAAGAATTTCTGGCAAACTGAATAGGAGAAACCAAGGAGGTAAAAGCATGAATGAGTGAAAAGTACAGTGGAAGAGGGAGCGTATTCTATCCTGGAAATTCTCTCAGACCTACTTTCATTAGTTCCTTTGGAAATCTTTTCTTCTCTCTTCTCATCTTCCTTTTTTTTTCTTTTAGCTGGGGCATTTAAGGAAAAGTCTATGTGGAATGACCTAAAAGGGCATGAGTGAATCCTGTCCATCTGCTTCAACCTAGATGACTTCCTTGTGAGCGCAGATATACAGAACTTGAAATGACTTACTGAGCCACCTTCTTCTTGGCACTGCATCACACTTACCAGGTTTTAGACTAACAGTGGTACAGGTTTTTTACCCTCACTACTCTGAAATGAAAGGTGTTTCAGTCTCTCCCAGCTGTAATTGTTAAGAATGCTACTCTAATTTCTATTTCTAAACAAAAGCTTTGTATCAGTTTGTTCCTGGGCCAGTATCACCCTCCATTTTACTACTGCTACCCTACACTCCATTGCTTGGGTTCATTTATCTCTTTGGATGTGGAAAACAGGAAACTGGAAGAACTAACAGAGGAATAACAGGGGTACCTGTGTCAGATGTACGATCCCCTTTAGAAACCATATTCCCACAGATTCCTATCACAGTCAGTACACACTGGACATTAATATAATTTGGATAAACAATCAAGTTTAGGTTTGCTCATGTTATTAAACTGAAATCTGTCTTAATTATAGGTTTCCTTAAGATGTGTGCAGAACCAAGAGGAGATGCATGTTGTAGGACAAACAGTTCAAAAAATTTAAAGGGGATTTTTAAACTTTCCTTAACTATCATTCTATCAGTTCCATCAACTGTACTAAGATAGCAATCTGTAAACAACGAAATTATTTTCATGCTCTCTTCTGTCCATTGTAGTTCATCATACTACAGAACGGGTAATTTATCTTCAACATTCAGTTGAGTTTAACAATGGGATGTTGAAACAAAACCCCTAATTCCGGTATGTAAACATTTGCCTTTCAGTAACAAGCAGATCACTGTCATTAATTTTATCCCAGGATATCCAAACTAAATTAATCATTTCAATAAAAGCTACTGAAAGTAACTTATATACCAAAATAGAGATACCTGCTAAATGGCTTTTTACTTCCTTTTAGGCCTCTACAGCACATTAAATAACATGCTAGTGAAAACTGGGCACATTTAGTACAGAGATTTAGAGTAAAAGGTTGCATTCTTTTGTCCAAGTATGAGATTGTGGTTCCAGTGAAATTAAGAACAGGCAGTGACTTCAATATACTCAACATTTAACTCACAGTGCTAGTCGTTTTTATAAAAGAACCAGAAAAACCTAATTAGAACATGATGTATATCAATTTTTTTCACTATTAGCTCTACACTTAATTGAGATGAAAGTATAGTCTTGCAATACATCGCTAGCATAACACATAAACAATGCAGCTTTCTGATCCATAGCATCTAAACCATTGATGCCTGCCATAGGAAAAATGGATATTACTGGGAGAAGAGAAGGAATATTGTCAATACTATCCCTTCCTGAATTTAGAAGTATCTTAGAAACTCCTGGGGTACATTTGTGTACATTGGGATACATTTGTATATATCCAATGGCACACACTGACCAAGAGAAAGAACAGATACAGTCATCATTTTGTTGAGACTTACTAGTAAATAGCTATAAAGTCGTAAATCAATAGAAACATCTCCCAAAAAATGACAGCAAAGATTGTATGCTGCACAGAGAGCAACTTTAGGAAAAAATGCTTTTCTAAGGAATATAGTTTTACAAATAATGTGAGCACAGATGTTTTCTGTAAATTTTACTAGCAAAACTAGAACTTCAACCTGAACACAGCGAAGATATGTAACTACTTAAATGATCTTTTAAAAGTGCAAATGTTCAAAGACAGTCAATATGAAACAAGTACTGATGTTACTGGATGAATGAACAGAGCCCAGGTATATGGCTTATTTAATTTCTTACAAATGCAGTATCTACAGGAGCAAATGTGCGTAGTGTAGGCTTGACAACATCTTAGGATTCTTTTCCCTCTGGTGTCAAATAAAATGGGTAAGTCACTGTCTAGGGCAACGACACAGTTCTATTTCTAAGAGACAGTGAGATCAGAATGCAAAATGTCAAAGAGGCAGTATGAGTTTTATGCTTCTCATTGTCTTACATAAATATTGGCCTACCTTTCCACAGGAAATTCCAGATGTTTCAAGACAAGTAACCAGCTGCACGCTAACAACAGTTCAGACAAGTGCACTGAACTATACAGTTAAGAAAATCCTGCCAAGGCCATATTGAAATTTATACATTATACATGACCCTTACCTAACACTTCCACATCAAACGATTTACCTTGATACATGGCAGCAGAAATAGGGCAGCTGATCCCCAAGGCATCCTCAGCCATGAAAGACTGACAGAAATCACGCAGCATTTTCATCCCTAGGCCACCTCTTCTGTACTTTCTCCGGACAAATATAGTATCCAAAACCGGCAGCAAGTAACATTGACTGGTTGTACCATCGCATAAGCTCCCTGAAAGCAGACAGTAAAAAACATGAATTTGAAAACAAAATCAGTATTGCTACACTAACTAACTGCTGTGTGATTCTAGACACAAATACTGCCTGATATCTTTCCACAAGCTATGAGGCTGACCCCAGCTGAAGGGCATTCACATTGACAGTAAAACACTTTCCAGGAGGAAGATTTGTACCATCAAACTGAGAGGACCTGCTTAACAAGTGGTTGACAGCTCTCACCATAGTACTGGGGTGAAAACCACGATTTTTCATAATCAGACATGTAGGTACATAGGAAAGTTCACAGAGAAGATATAACCGGGCTATAGTGGCATAAATATTCTGAATGCAATCTCAGTATACTCCTTTAACTTTTGGCTATTCTGGAAAATCACCCCACAAACTCTTTTTATGAAATACACTGGACCACACAACACAGTATGATTTAAATGCTCAGAAGGTCAATACTGCCAGATGCAGCTGGACAGTGGAGAAGGCTTCCAGAGAAAACTCCCAATACTGTTTAAGCTAACAACGTCATGATGACTGCAGGGAGGGAAGAGAGGCTCTCCTGGGTCTCTGCATACATTGCTGTTGTGCCTCCCCAAATGGTATGATAATACTCCAAAGTATGAAACTTGACTGGCCCCATCATTTACACCTCCTTTCTGACTTTTACTGGTCACAAAGTTATACAACCCTTCCACTGCGTATTCAGTCTTCGATCTCAGCACACAAAAGTCACACTTCTGTAGGAAGAGGAGTATAGGCATTAATTAAGGCGTTTGGGTATAAAGCCATAAACAACCAAATGGTGCATTACAAGAAAGTACTGTAAGTGCTCCTTTGTAAGTCACTCCATTTCTACTGAGGGGTAATTTATCATGCACGTACGTGCTTCTAGTCCATCACTTGAACTACTACTGTTAGTGTTAAATGAAGGTTTTCACTCAAGGATGGTCTTTGCTAATAAAAATATTCAGTCAGTCACTTGAAACCATGGGGACATGACATAATGCTCTACACGTGGACAAAATACAGACTCGCGTATAAGCCTCCAAACTATTAAAATTCAGTTTTCAGTGAAAACTGTTAAAAAAAATTAGAACTAAGGGATTTATTTTGCAATTATGTATGGTAAACTCAAACTGGAGTCAAGAGAAAGTTGATTAAGACGTTCAGGGTCCAAAATTTTAATGTTCACCCTAAACAACTTAGGGTCCTACTGCAGGAGGTACATTAGCAATTCACCATACAACTTGCATTCAGTGCAAAACACCATAAAAACAAAACCTCAAACTACTTGACGGCATAAGCATTCAGCTCTGAAATGAATGACCAGCATCAGTTCACCAACTATCTATGTATAGGATAAGGTAACCATAGAAACATCTCGTCAATTTATTTTCATTTTTTTGAAAATATTTATAAAAATTTTACGCTGCTTCTATCTGTGTATATGGCAGTTTAAATAGAAATGGATATCCAAGTCTTTATAACAGAAGATTACACTTTCTTACTTTGTTGCTTAAATCTCATCAAGACCTTCTTGGTTTTCCTGCTTACCACTTACTAGTGTACCACTCAGTCTAGCTTCCAGTGTCTTGAGAGTTGAAACTTTCAGCACTTCATTAAGACCTATTCCATAGTTTCACAAATGTCATATTGAATGGCTGTTCCTGAATTTCAGTATAAGGCTTTTACTTGAGAGCCATTTTTTTCTTTATCACATCGACAATACCTATCTTAAACTGAAGTCTAGTTCTGTTCCTTGAGTTGGGGTCCAGTACCTTTTGCTTACAGTCACTAGGCCTGACTTTCATTACTCTCTTTTCTACGATGCCAGTTCAGCAAAGCATACATGACTGTATTCAAGCCTAAACCCTGATTTGTCAAGGCTGTAGCTCTCCACTTAGCAAGAATCCACGTCACACTTAGCCATACAACAAGCGTACGTAACTACATAACCAATCCATTCACATCCAGGCTTGGTGCACCCTTAAATTAATGAAACTGCATGCTTAACTTCAAACACATGTTGAAGCACATTGTTGGAAAAGGATGGTTTGTGGTGGTGTTTATAACTTTTCAATATTTGTAACATATGATGGGTAGTTACTCTTTTTTCATGAGCCAAAAAACTGCGTATATCCCCAGTCCCATTGTTAGCTGCCAGCCCAACAGAGATGTTGGATTCCAGCAGTGTTGCACCATACATCCTAAGAAAGGGACAAACTTTTCCTCATGAAGTCAATAGCTTTAAGAATTCCTGCATGTTGCAAGTGTCCTTATAAGTTTATTATTATCTCATATAGTCTGTCTCCTATAAATCCTGATGAGACTGCTCTGCAGTAATCCCAGGAGCTGAGTGATTTATGTCTGTGCTCCTAATTTTGTGTTGAGAAGACAAAAACTTGTAATGTCTAAAGGCACTGTAAATAAAGAAACCATGAAGCCATTCTTCACCTTGTCCCTGGGAAACATATTAGAAGAGTCATAGCCCACAGCCATTTGAAATAAAACCAACCAACCAACCCACCTTTGGAACAAAGGCCACTTTGTCTCTAGTTCCCATCCAATAGCAAAGAGGTTACCGTGAGCTAATGGTGGCCCAGAGGTGACCACTAGGCTCTCACACATTTGGTTCAGAGGTTGGTTTCATTGTTGAAACATACAAACAAAGTTTTGAGGTGAGGGAGGAGACAGGGAAAATAAGGGCGATGAAGATGGAAGTATTCATACAGTCTGCCCTTTGAAAGCCTTTGATCTGTTTGGTTAGGTCACGAGTGCCAAATGACCAACTTACGAGCCAGCAAAATGGTAAACAGATATTACAAAGGCAGGAAAGCAGACAGCCATTAGCATTCCCAAAGAGCCGCAAACCAGAAAAAAAAAACAACAATCCAGTCCCCACATCCAACAGACCCAAACAAAACAAGGTTGTGTGTACTGACTATTTCCCTGCTGACCAAGTTGGCTTGGCACACACATGTTTGGACAGGCCTTCTGCAGGCTGAGTGCTTGTGTAAAGGGTGGGGAATATTTCTGCTGAATAGAACCCAAGGTCAACCCATTGTGTGAATTTGTATGTGAGAAGGGGAACAAAGGTTCTGGCTTCAATAAAATTAAATGAATTCATGTCTTGACTGGTATGTAGTCATTTAATTTTTATTACAGCCAGAACCTTCAGTCTGCCCCAGAAATGCACATTAAAAATATTATTGCTAGAAAACAGACGGAGAGAAAAGCAATTATCCAACAAGATTTCAGCTAATTGTCTGTCAGGTTAACTTCAATTCTCTTTTTTTTTTTTTTTTTTTCATAAAGAAATGTATGTAATCAGTGAAAAATAAAATCCTATTATCACTTTAGGGATCTATTTCTACAGAATACCACCTGAGCCACCAAAGTATTAAAAGAAATTTGCAAAGGCTTGTATGAAGAAAGGCGTGACACGGATTTTAGCTTGGGTAGCCACTTCCAAAGACCATCTCTAAGGCTCTGGGGTAGCAAAAAGCAGAGACTGGGCCAGGGTTGTTCTGCTGCCTACTTTATATCAGCTTAGACTTTTTGTGGTCAGGTGTTCCCAAACTGTGATTTGTGGAGCATCTCTACAGAATGAATGAGAAGCCAACAATACATTTACTCCTGGTTCAACTGCATGCTTTACAGCCTTCTCAGAGGACCAAATTTTGTTAAGGCTGGTCTGAGGTTTGACTCACCGCACAGACAATACTATCTTTCTCTACACTTTTACTACTAAGGTTTCACAAAAGGGACACAGCAAACTTGGGAAGGGACAAGCTTTGGCAATCTGATTTCCTTCCTTTTTGTACTGTAGACAGGTTGGTCCACAACTGGGCAGTTCCTATGTGTTATAGAAACAGTAATACGTAACAGTAGGGGGGGGAAAAAAGCTGAGGTCTTTTTTCTGTATATAAAAAAGGGCTTTTGTTCTGTTTTATTCTTAAAGGGACTAAGACACTCCTGGCTTATAGCATCTTCCAACTTCCTTACTGATTTATTTGCATGATGAATCTTCTACACTCTCCTGACATTTATGTGAATGTGGTAAGAGTCCATTTTCAGTAATTACTAATCCTCAGTAAATAAAAAAGACAAACTTTCAGGGAATTACATGGTTTCATTGCACAAAAAATAGTGTCAGTAACTACGGTCATTAATCCTACATCACTATACAAAACACATTATTTTTGAGGTTTTCACACAGATTTAGAGCATACCAGGAAAAAAAAAAAGGAAAGAAATACTTAGAAGAATATAAAACAGATCTCAAAACCAAAGTATCTATATGAAGGTTTTCTGCAAAATATTCCATTTTCAGGCTGCTGTCTGCAAAGAAAGGCACAGGGACAGGAAACTGTCATTTCCTGTTGTACCTTTAAGTAGCTACATGCAGTGAGGTCTAACTCCTCAGCTGTCTAATATGGAAGCCGCTGACATAGATAAAATTGGAGACATTTATCTTGGCACGTGACAAAGTGTCTTATCAGCCTCATTAGTGGCTTAGTACGTCTCATCAATCTTTAGTATACCCAGTGGTAAATGCTGCATGCCTGTCATTGGAAAGGAATAGGAACATACCAGAGAGGCTAGGGTGATGATCTGTGTAGTCATGAATAAATTTTGTTTTAATAAAGGTGTCTAATGCTCATGAAAAGCGATAGCCTTGAAGAATGAGTCTTCAGTTTATCTACACAACAGGTGCAGGATGGTCAGTGTCAGTAGTTGCCAAATTGTCTCAAAACTTTGACCTGCAGTTACTGCGCCTCTGAGCAAGGCAGGTGCTCAAGACCATCTGTCCCTCTTTAGCTAGACTATCAAAAGAGATCCAGTTAAAGATGTTCATAAGATGGATGGATGTGTGGAACTGGCAAATGGAAATGACTTTACAATATTGCCAAGATAGTTAATTGGAATCACTGAAGTCCACTGAAAATTTAGTTTGCATAACGGCACACTAAATCTGTAGCTAAGATAGAACAGACTCTCTCCTCCTTGGTCACCATTTCTATGATTCACCCAGATGACTTATGTTTGAAATAGCCATGCTCCACAGATCTGTTCTGGCTTATTTGGCTCCACCGAAGCATGTTTTTTTGTCGTACTGTAGATAATGGAAAATTCACAGATGAGAAATACAGTTGAATATAGCATCAGCTTGGGAGTCTCAATTACTTAATGAAGAAAATAAAACTATAAAGAACAGCCAGGTAATTGCAGAGGAATCAGAATCACATGGTGGGCACAGAGGAAAATAACTTCGTCCTAGGACCAGAAGCTGTAACAGAGGTCCAGCACAATATAAAGTCCTGTACTTAAAGTTGCCCCTACTAAATGTTCTGACCAGAACAGTAAAAGAAAAAAGAACTTACATTATGATAAAAAAAGAAAAGTTAAAAAAAAAATCTACAACAACCATGTGAAATACAACTTCTAACCACCATGTGAAATGCAACTTCTAAGAGAAGATATTTATCTCAGCCTGTTTTGGGCCTAATAAATCCATGGCTCTTCCAGAAAGTAGAGAGAATAGGATCAGCCAGAGCGTGGCTGGTATGAAGTTGAAATCACAGAACTTCAGAAAGAGGAATTATTTTCTAAATGCATACAGCAAATAGCAAAAAGGGGCAAAACCAATCCGTTTCAAGCTTCCCGAAAAGGCTTTGGCAAAAGACTGCAGTAATTTGTGAGACAGGCCAAAAACTAACAAATATAGCTGCCCAGAGAAAAAAAACCACTGGCAACAAAAGACAGATGCTGACAAAGCTGGACTTGAAGAATTTGTATTTTATGTGGACCTGGTTTAAAACCAAACTGTGACTCTCAACTTACTCAGAAACAGTTTCAACTTGGCTAATACTCCACCCATAACAGACTACTGTGCAAATTTATTTTACTGAAGCATGAGTCATTACAGCCCATACAAGTGTCTCTTTCCAAAAGCTTTGCTCAGAAATATTTATTACCTTAAAGGAAAATGTACTATGGCAGTTGAAGTGTTTGTCAATTACAAACCAGTTCATCAGTACAATCACAGATAGACAGATAGATAGATATACACAAGATTCCTTTATCATAGGCTGAGACGTGATTCATCATTGATAGTACAGTAGCACTGTACCGGCACAGTGGTGTACAAGTTACACCTCAGTGTGAATACGGATTTTGCACATTCCAAGGCAGCAGAAGAGCAGAACATCCCTTACTGCTGCTGGCCTTTGAGACTCTATCGGAGAAGGCACCTTCAGGCTGTCATCCGGAATCCAACGCAATCCGTATCTGTACGGCTCTCAAGTTGTTTCTTATTCTCTCTTGGACAGATGGCTACTGGTTGCTGACTTGAAGTAGATGGCTACTTGCTTGCTTGACATTTACCTCCAAAGATACCAACTTCTCTACATTTAAGCTGCTGGTATCAAGATGACACCCACGAATCTTAAATACAGACTGGTAACCAGCTCCTACATGGGGGTATGTACTCAACTGCATACCTGGAGTTATCTAATGAAGTCTTTTCCACTCTAGACTGGTTAACAGCAATGTACCTGCATTAATACAAACTCTCTATTTAATAGAAGACCTTCACTAAAGCTTACGCTGGTGCAAGTATAATGCATATATACTGCCCTAGTGAGACCGCACCTGAAATACTGTGTCCAGTTCTGGGCTCCTCAGTTCAAGACAGGGAATTACTGGAGAGAGTCCAGCAGAGGATGATTAAGGGCCTGAAATATCTCTTGTATGAGGAAAGACTGAGAGAGCTGGGTCTGTTTAGTCTGGAGAAGAGAAGACTGCAAGAGAATCTTTTCAACACTTCGTAATATCTAAAGAGCAGGTGTCAAGAGGATGAGGCCAGACTATTTTCAGTAGTGCCCAGCAAGAGGACAAGCGGCAATGGGCACAAATGGGAACACAGGAAGTTCCCTCTGAATATGAGAAAAAACTTCTTTACTGTGAGGGTGACAGAGCACTGGAACAGGCTGTCCAGAGAGGTTGTGGTGTCTCCTTCTCTGGAGACATTCAAAACTCACCTGGATGTGATCCTGTGCAACCTGCTTTAGGTGATCCTGTTTTATCAGGGGGGTTGGACTAGATGATCTCCAGAGGTCCCTTCCAACCCCATCAGTCTGTGGTTCTGTGAAGTATCCCTAAAGAATCACATACATTGTTTCTTTTCTACACTAGTTAATCAATTAATGATGAAATCAGTTAATCACCATCCTTTAAACTGAGAGTACCACAACTGGACAAAGCATTCCAGGTCTGATCTAGCGCATATACCTTCCTCTACACAACCCAACCACTGCTCCTTATGCATCCAAGGATATTACCACTTCTCACCACCAGCCACTCCTGATACACTGGTTTTCCACTGTGAACTGTACTCCTTTTTTCAGATATCACTTTTTCCAGGATGCAGTCCTCCATTCTGTGGGTAGGCCCTATACTCTTTGTTCTTAGACATATGACCTTCTACTTGCCTGTATTAAAGTATATTTTATTAGAATAAGCCAGTACCTCAGATCACTCAGTGTAACTGAGAATAGAGTTTGAAGCCATCATCTTTAAATGAAAGTAATATGGATAGCTTCCAAATTTTGGGAAGGTTTGTTCCCCAGATTCATTCTGAGAGAGATTTGATATAAAAATGTAAATGAGAACCAGGATTATTTATACTGAAAGATAAACAAAAGGATTACACTAGTAGCTATTAGGAACTAATGGAAATGTGTCTCTAAAATGACCTTACCTTTCATCTTGACCGAGTAAAAGGCAACAGCCTCACCATTTCTCCAGAGTATCTTGGCACACTCAGTGGCAGAGTGAGGTAGAAAGAATGCATCATTAGCTGAACTGCCTTCCAGCATTCCCAAAATAATGTAGTTCAGAACAAAGAGGACAATTCTTTCTCCAAATGTCTGGACCTTAGAGAACAAACAAAAACAGACCAAAGCAAAATGAAGCAAAGAATAGTATTTTGCATTTCATAAAAGGCTTCAAAATTAAAAGGGGCTGGGAAGGAGGAGATGAGGGAACAAGTACACTTAATTTGGGGAAAATACCTCATGAATTGGTTCAGATAGACTAACAAAAACAGTTTTTCCCAGTGTTCCACCCTCTATCCATAGAGGGCATTGAATAATTTAGTAACAATTTATAAAGTTTGAGATATGTCCTGTTGTCACAGAAAGAAATTCTAAAGCAGCAGGAAAAGAAGTATCTTGATTGTAGTCACAGCAAACTAGTCACAGATTTGGAAACAGGATCAAAGCAATCTAATTCTACCCAAAAGCAAAATAAAGACAGGATTCGCTGTGTTATTCTGGTCCCTTCTCCCCTATTACCTGTCTTGCCACAGCATCACAGAACTTTAGTGGGCAAGGACCTTACTGAGATAGACACTATACAAAACAGAGATTAAATACAGTCTGTCCCAACCACCTTATAATCTAGGTGTTATATGAACAATCAGGTTTTATGTCGTGCTTCTTAGTAGACAACTATCAGGACAGGGAGATGGAGGAATATAAAGGAACGCGATCATATCGGTCATCAAGGTAAAAAGTGGTGACAACAAGCTTTATATGAAAGCTGAAAAAGAAAATGAGAGTTTCCACAAATAATGACAACTTCTCTCTTAGCAATGAGCTAGAAGGGGCAAGTTTTCTATTTTCAGGTATTTTTTTCATTCTCTGTTGATACAGCAGCTGCTTGAAAGCCTGAAAGCCTGTGTTTCTATCCTAAGTTCTATCTTGCAAGGATTTGTATCTCAAATTCCCTCCAGTTCAGTGGAGAGTCTACTTAATTCAGTGAGGAACTAAACTCTGTGTATGGCAGATATTTGGGAAAGCTGATAAAGGAACAGAATCATTAAGGACCAAAGCTGGACACAAAGGGTTGGGTAGGAAACAGAACTGACTTAACAGCCTCACAGCAACACAAAGCTTACATCCAGTAGGCATCTAACTTTTTAGCTGAAAACAGATTACAGGCTACCCAAATCTCTCAAATTATGAAAAAGTAGTCGTATCCTACTAAGATAATTTATTTGGAAAAAGAATCACAGATATAGGATCTAACCATTTCATAAAATGAACACAATATAAACATTATCCAAGGCAAAAAAAAAAAATCATAACTAGCTAGATAAAACCTTGTTCCAAAGGGTAGTAACACCTTTCCATCAGACAGTCAGTCAAGCAACACTAACTTGACTGAAGAGTGAAGAGTTATTGCTAATGTAGTAATTTGGTTTATCTGATTATTCCTTTAGTAGGCAGTAAAGGTAAACTAAAACCAAAGCCTAATAAATCCCACAGATGAATCATAAACTGCATGCATAAAACTGTTTAGAGAGGGTTAATGTGCATGTCACTGTGCAATGGAGACATGTGAAGTACCCGGTGAGCCACATAGCCCAGATCCCACAGGTTATAAAGTATGAGCTATAGGAGACCAGAGACAATTACATATGATTGTTCTAGTTGGGAAATTCCAGGGTAAAGGCAACTGTTTAAAACAGTATCCTTACCGAAATTAGCCCATCTCTAGAAGGATCAGCTGTCTTTACTACATCTTCAACAGGCCACCAGCACTGGTTCAAATAAACTGCCAAAACTACAAAAAGAAAAAGACAGCAGAACACATTACCTTCAAATATATACACAGCTGGTTCTGAACTTTTCCACAAGCAGCCTCAGATCTGCTTCTTCCTCCAGCTGACTCCAGTTTGAACTGCTGTGAGACAGCAGAACAATAATTGTATTTCAATTTCTCCTCTGTATCCCTTGATATCCAATTTTCAGTGCCACACGAGGCATCAAGTGAAGGTAATTTTTCTCAGGAATTGATGTGACTTTGGTATGACAACCTGTGTGCCGTATGAATAAAGCACTTCCTGCATAATATCTGTTCAGTAGCACAGTAAGCTTGAGTGGCATTTGGGACAGAGAGAGCTACCTAGCTAAAGGTTATACTTTTGATGTTTCTTTCAACTTGTTTGTTTCCCCTGTCCACATGCATACATGCTGGTATTTGCACCCACACAAGTCAAACACAAAAGTTTTTATATTCACTTTATCAAATAGCATTTCAGCTGCCTATGTGATTGAATGTCTATATATCTGTACCTTCAGAGTACAGACTCCTACATCTCTGCATGGACAGACAGTCACAGAAGTTCAAATGCATACAGAGATTTCTATCAACAAAGGACAGACACATGCACACATGAGTAAGACACACTTTGCCCTGAAGCAGAAGTGTATGACCAACCTACACATAAGTCAGGTCCTTGTGTAGGTACTATGCAGAACTTCCACCCCACTTCTTCCCATTCTTCCTGAATTTTTCACATATGCAGAAACAAGTATTTAAAACCTACTCCTACATGTTCATACACAGAATTCATTGCCTGCCATTAGATTTACAAGAGAAAGTCTAAAGCAGCAACAGCAACACTGAAATTGCTCCCAAGAATTCAGAAAGAAAAGTTTTAACACAGGGTCATTTCAAATGATATAGAATAGATTTTAAGGGTTTAGATTAGGTTTTAGAATAAAGACAGAAATTTGATCATTTATGACCACCAACACATCAAGCAGCAAATATTTCAGCAGAAAGAAATTTTATTCGCTGTACAGTGGTGACATCCACCTGAAGAAAGTACACAGCCACAATTTCAGGAGTGCTCAAGAACACTAGTATCTTTACTAACTTCAAACAGGGCAGCTAGCATCCCCATTTTTAGACAAGAAGATAAAATATAATATAATATAAGAAGTATGGTGCAAAGAACAGCATGGAGTTCACACCTCGAGTCCTAAGAGAGTGCACTGTCTAATGGTTTTCTAAGCTACCCAACTAGGGAGAAACGTAAGAAAGTTAAAACACACCTACAAGTTAGAGACAAATTCACACACAAAGAAGTGAAACAGCTTTAACAGGATTCATCATTTACCTGTTTTAGCCTCAGGTTATACAAATGTTGCTGATGCGCACAGGTTAGTTTCCCTTTTTGCTTCAGCCTCTACCATCTCCTGCTGGCTTCCAGGCTGGAGATTCCACTTAGCTAACTTATCTTTCAAATAAATTATTAAAGCATGTGCCAAAAAGCGTTACATTTTGTGTACTGGGTTAACAATGAAGAAAGTATTGCACGCAAGGGCAGATGCCTGTTTATAGCACCAGCTTCAATTCATTAAATATTATGCACTTACTTGCATGGGAGTTTCATACTCTTTCTGTGATGGATTCAATCTGTTCCCTCAGTCCCTTCACTCTGCTTTCAAACGCAAGCAGTCCCTGCTCCATTACACATCCATGAAACATGCAGTACAAAGGGAGCTGAGTCAGACAATGGAACATAATGGGCCAAATGCTGACTTTAATGGGAGCTGCAGAGGTTTGGCACATAGTTCAGACACATACAAGACACACAATAAAGGTCAAAAATGTTTTTAAAAGCTTTGAGGAAAATAGGAAGATGCATAACCATGCTGTAAGGAGCTACTTTTATAGAACATTTACTGTGCTATTCAATAATTTAAATGTGTGGAAGGGAACACTAGTTGACATAGCAACTGTCACATCACATTACTTGAGCAACCTTATCTATATGGATGCCTTCCTTGAAGGAAAAACATTTCTCCAGATTTCACACAAACATATGTACTTTGCTTTTTGTTATCATTTTTCAAGTTAACATCTGGTCCGCAGTTAAATCCATCCATGCTTCCCCATATTCTCATTTTCATTTTATAATCAACTTTGAGGAACACTATTTCAAATGCAAACATGGTTTGTGAGACCACATGTTCCTTCACTCTCCTTTCCCGGTCTTGTTCTTTCGAAGATATTTGGTTATATTCACCTGATCATGAGAGATCAAGTTATTGCCAACAGTAAGTCACACGCATCACCTCAATGCTGTGAATCATGACGTATATGATTACAAGGATCTCGCAAGTGCAAGACCTGATGTGCTTGATCTTGCAATTGCAAGACTAGGTGAAATGGATTAAGTCCAATACATTTCAGTTCACAATTAATGGAGTATATACATGCTCAGTTGGGTGGCTTGCCCTGTAAGCCCTAGCTTGCTAAACCTCAGTACTTTGATCACGTGCAGTCAGACAAACATATTCAGAGTGTTGCAAGAAGCTGAGAGCCCGTGAAGCACACGATTCCATACCCACTACGGGTATTTCGAATACAGTACTGAAAAACACGGAGTTGAATTAGGCACTAAGCATAATGCAATTGTGATTATGAAATGTCTCCTTTTGCTAGGCAAACATGGATCACTTCCCAGCCCAGGTCTGGATTATATTTTTACTTTCTAGGGTATGCTGGCCAAACTTTCCCACACTGGTGTGCAACTATTTGAATGAAATGTGCACATCAGGACTCTACACACAGAGTAAAGCAGAAATGTTAAAGCAACATCCAGCATGGTACTTCTTTTTTCCCAGCCTTCATCTGAATTGCTGAAATGCATCCCTCAGTCACAAACTAAATTAAAGGCAATGCTATATATGAGATATGTAATTTGAGTTTGTTTAATAAATATAGAATGTACCAGTTCGTTACCTTAGATAAAATCATCTTTACCTTAATTTTGGCAGTATTTCAGATTGATGAAACACTTACAGAGGCTGCTTTTGCCAGATTTCCACCTTGGAAGGAGAATGGTAAATTACCCGAACAAGTAGTTCCAAGCAACAAAGCCTAGGTCAGCTCTGATAGTGGAGCAAGTTCAGAGATCCTACATTAAACTGCGCTCTGCAACGTTGACATAGCCTGAAAAGCTGTGCCCCCAGTTCCCTGTCTTTAAAATGGAATAAGAGCATTTCTCTCTCTCCTAAGAGTCTTATCGAAATAAATACATTAAAGCTTGGGAGGCATGCAGATACTGCAGTAATGGCAGCCATTCAGGTATCTAAGATAGATATCTTTCCTGCAACCAATTACATTTTCTTCTACAATTCAAGTTTTACTCAGTGATTTGTTGCAAATGTCTTGTGATAAATGTTCCATGGCATCTAACAGTTATTGTAAATTATTATATACAGCGTACAGAAAATGCCACAATAGGGTATGTTTATTTAGTGTTATAAAGATGTTAATCACCCATGCTATGTTCTGTAAGCCCTTGCAACACAATTTACATTCTCATAAAAATATCTGTACAGATATACTAACAGAACAGAACACTCAGCCCATCAAAAATAAATTAAAAATGCTCCCAACCAAGACCAAGTCCTATGGAAAAGCTACCATATCCATTTTCTCTTTGAAATATGCAGGTCATTTCAGACCACAAGCTACACATCACTTCTGGACAACCCATCTGATCAAGATGATCAAATGTACATTTCAGTGTTAGAATCAACTCCCCTTTAACCTATGTTCAAGAATTAAATGCCATCAAACTTTAAAGCTTTTCATAGGCAAACTTGTAGCTTGGCTGCTAAATTCACTATTTTTCAAATTTCAAACATAAATTACTAGATTGACAATATTTTCTTTGGGAACTGTGGAAAAATAAGAATATTACTATGGATATTATTTCATAAGTATTGTATACATCATTTTATCTCTGCAATACTTAACCATTATAGATGTAAACACAAATGAAGCTGAAAGAGGAAATCCCATCACATATGAACATAAGACGTACAAGGTATACAGCTTTCTCATTGAGATTAAGGTACTGCCCAGGTGTCTGGTTCATAGGATCATAGAATCACAGAATGGTTTGGGTTGGAAGGGACCTTAAAGACCATCCAATTCCAACCCCCCTGCCATGGGCAGGGACACCCTCCACTAGACCAGGTTGCCCAAAATCCCATCAAACCTGGCCTTGAACACTTCCAGGGATGGAGCATCCACAACTTCTCTGGACAACCTGCTCCAGTGTCTGGTTAACCCCAGCAATTGGCAAGACTTTCTCCAGAGTTTGTTTTAGGAGGTGAGGCATACTGGGGAGCGACCAGGAGCAAAGCTGAAGGAACTGATGGTGCCAGGAGTAGAACTGGAGAAAAGAACTAAATTGAAAAGGCTCTAGCCAGGGTTTTGGTAGTCACCGGTCACCTGACCTACTGGAGCAGAGGAAGGTTGCGGCTCTTGGGAGCAATACGCTGTGGCAGAACCAAGCAATGAGGATTCTAATGCTTCTTGCTGCTTCACTATCTAAACCAGTACCTGAGAAGTACACAACTAAACATGCCCTACACACTTATTAGCTGCATCTTCTACTCTGTCTCCAATTGCTTCTCAGTAAAGCACCTCTACTCCTCTACCCCGGCGTACCCTGGAACACCCTTGGCTGCCTTCCCTCATTGGACTTCAGAAACATCCAAATGAATTGCAAGAGGAAAAATCAGTGGGCCATGTTTGCATTAGCAAGACTTAAGACTAACAAAACTGAATTCGCAGAGCAAAATATTTGGTGCAGAGAACCTGATGTTCGCAAATTCTAGCCTTGTGCTGAAAACTAAAAGCCCATTAGAGGTTGGGGCACATCAGTGTGCTTCTGGAGCGCATCCTCTAATTTCATTTCAGCCAAAACTAATCCAGTCCAGGCAGCCCAAGGCTGCTCCTTTTATCGACTGAAGCACAGTACATAGGGACAACCGGGAAATTTGCTTCTAAGAGCATTCCTGGTGTGAAGCAAAACTAAAATGCAGATGCACCGGACAGCACGTGAGAAAGAGATCAGCCACAGCAAGATTGTTTGCCTGGATGAAACCTGAGTTCACAAGAAAAGTGTAAAGCTCAAGGGAGGAAAAATAATCATGCAACCTGCTTAGTGTTTTAACTTTCTGCCCATGTCCTTAAGTAACGATGACTGAGTTAATAAATATTGCTTCTCTCTGAAGGACTTGGTTTTGAAACAATTTGATCTGTTCACTGGTCAGAACAAAAGGTCATATAGGTAAGCAAATCCAGATGGACTTGCCACATTAACACAGTCTGCTGCCTTAAAAGTCAATTCCAGATCTGTTGAACTGTGGGAAAAAATATTTGTATTAAATACTTCAAATGTATATACCCATATGTATAGGTATGCACACACATATACACACACCCCAGCAGACTTTAGAAAACTAATGAAAATTTATTAAAACTCATCTAAAGAAAAAAATCATGTCAGTCAAATTTGATGTGTGTAGGAAGGCTGGCCACATGTTTATAGCATATAAAATCCAGAACCAAAGAACTTCCAGTAAAATCCTTTAAATCATGCCTTTAAAAGGAAACATTAAAAGCCAGATGCTGTAGGCCTTACTTAAATAACTAGACTTACTGATCTCTGTGAGACTGTTTCTGTGACTATGGGTTCGTGACTCAAGCTAAAGTTTTGCAAGGGGCTCACAGTAGTCACTCAGTCTGTTGTTTATAATATAATAATGTGTTTATTCTGCTAGGTTTAAGCTTTTAATGTAGATAACTATCATACAATTTAGGCTCCAATGTGGACTTGTTTGACTTGTTCCTGTGGGAAAATAATTTTTTCCTTGTGTATACGTATCTCATTAATACTTGTTGTTCCTAATACTATTAGATTATTTAACTGAAGATTTGTGCTAAATGCACTGCTTTCACTTGCATTTATTTAATAATTCTTTATTTCTGCATTGTAGTTGTTACAGATCCCCACTCCTCTTGTGCAGCCTAAACCAACTTAATGCTGTTTTCAACGACATTCCTTTGGACATGAGTCAGTAGGTATGCACAACTGCACTCACAGAGCAAGTTTGGCCTCCGGTGTAGACACTTCTCTCCTTTATCACACCAGTGCCTATCTCTCTTCTGAAAAATGTTAATGGAATATATAAATTAATGTCAGAAAAGTAATTTTATATCAATAGTTTTAAAGGAAAAATCTCCTACTTTCACCTATGTGAATCACAACCCATTAGCAAAGATCCAATTGAAATCATAGGTAAAAGGAGCTGGAAAACTTTGCAGAGTTCATCTCTAACCACATGTGATCTTAATCTTTTTTTTTTGTTCTTATGAAGAAATTTCCTGGTTACAGGGTTTGGACTGAACAATGAACACTTAGTTACACTAATAGTACCTGTTCTAGGAGTGTAAGATCGTTACCTGGCACACTTAAAACTGAACATAGAGTGCTAAACTTCTTCGCCTTGCCTTTGTTCTATTATTAAGAATACTGGCTATTAAAGCCTTTCAGGTGTAATTTATTGCTTATCCTTATTTAAAAAAAAAAAAAAAGGTTTTAATGACAGATGTCCTTAGTTTGCTGCCACAAGTTTGGAAGTTGAAAGTTTTAGACATTTAATGTGTTCTGTATTCCCTAAATGATACAATGGATCAATGCATGGGTTCATGTCTTTGTTGTAGATGTTACAAAAATTCTACAGCCCGTTGCTTCACAACAGCTCCAACACTCCTCATTTAAACTGGGTGAGTTGCAACCTGGGCTTTTGGTACTATGCAACCTAGAGTAAAGTTTCCCATCAATGACAGTGGTATCAAGAGTTGTTACTTATTTTACATTTTCATTGTTTCACATTCCATAGTCAAAGACACTTGCCCAAGAGAGTAAGTAGGAAGAAATCAGGCTGTGTCTGAAGATACTGCAATCCCTATAGCAAGAAGATAAAACTGAGATACAATTATTGATCAAATCTTAGTAACACTCTAAGCAGTGACTCATGAAACAGAAACACCAGTAAGCACACACTGAGTTCTACTGCCTGTAACACAATTGTAGTGTATCCCTGTCAGGCTGACACATGGCTGTAATAGGAAAACACCAGCATTACTAGCAGTAAGCAAGGCAAAGCCAGTAGAGTTTAAAGAGTATCTTGGGACGACTGCCAAATAAAATGGATTTAACTCAATTCCTGAGCATGGTCTCACTCCAAATTTACCCCTCACACATCAGTACTGGAAATAGGAGGCAACTAAACGTAGGACTGAAGAAGATACCATAAAGTAAAAATAATATAAATAAGAATCAGTAAGACTTAATACAATGTCATGTATATACTTGCTCTTGTTTAAGGATTCAGAATTCTATCCAAACTATAATGCATTAAATTTCATATCATCCTGAATTATAAAAATATTACCCCGTTGAACAAACTCAGAAAGAATAACAGATTTACCCAAGGTGAGATGACTTTTCAGCTACCAACAGAGCTATATATAGAATTTAAAAGCCCTGATTGTCAATCATCCCTTTTAATCAGTAGCCCACCAACACAAATTCCTGACAGGTAAACTAAATCTGCTTCATATTCAAAACAAAACACAAAATATTTAAATATATATAAACCAGCAGACCATCTTAAAAGTAAAGAAAGTACAACTACTCAAATTTCAAAATATTTTGACCAATTCTAACCTGTCTCTTTATCCTTTGGATCAGTTAACAGCAACATTTTGCAAGTAGGATTATTTCGGTAGAGAGGGACAAAACACACACAGGAATCTTCAAGTTTAACCTAAAAAACAAACAAGCCCTATAGCTGTTCATACTGCAAAGCTCATGAGAAGTATTTCATGTATTAGATGCATTTATGGTATGTTTTACTAACATGTATGGTATAAGCTTAGTACAACACCCTCTCAGTCCTGAACTTCACAGCACTGAAAGATACATAATATTCTAATATTATCAGTAAGTAATGTTAATTTCAAAGAAATCAAGCTACCGAAGTTAGTGAAGACCTTAATGCCAACTTATTACTACATAACCTGGCTTTGAACATTGTTACATGCAGACAAATGGTGTTATGAAAGACCAGACACTTCAAATAAAAACAAATACAACTTGCACTTCTTACAGCATCGTCCAGCTGAGTACTTGTGGTGTTTTGCAAACAATGAATTAAGCCTCAGGGTACAGGGAGTATCAAAGCATTAGGGCAGTGCCTGGGCAGTTTATCTGTGAGGCACAGGGAGGGTAGATAATTGGCACAAGGTGGTTATGTTGCAGGCAAAGCTAAAATAAAAAATGCAGCTCTCAAGCTCTCAGTCTTAGACTAAACTTCTAAATGACATGACACATAAACACAAAATTACTGTGCTCAAACAGCTCTATATGCATAGAGATGACGATTTCCATATGAATATTGCAAATGCTCTCATGTAAGTTTAGGTACAGGCAAAGAGCATGCATAATTTAGCACAGTATGTACTGTACTTTCAAAAATCTGGTCCATTGTGTATGTGTGGGTGTGCCTCTCTCTCTAATTGCACCCATTTGTCAGTTTGCTATGAAACTCAAATCAGTCATGTGATACATTTAATATTTCTTGGTGCATGAAAGGAGTAGTATGAATATGGATTATTCAAGATAACAACTTTAATTTGAAACCAGTGTTCACTAGTTTATGAGTGCCAGAATCCTAGGATCATCTATGCTGGACTCCAGAGAAAAAAAAAAAAAGAAAACTGCCTGAAATCTGTATTCATGAGCTTCCCAAAATCTCAGTATGTTCTGGGGATTCAGTCGTTCTTTGCATGCTTCAAATACAACAGCAATGATGTCATTATGGCACCTGCGAGCATTATTATAATGAAAAGGCCAGTAGTATTTCCAATACTGTTATGATTGTTATCTTGTTTTATAAGGTAATGTGCACTTTCACAGCTGCTAACATCATCAGCATGAGCCAAGCATAGCTTTCTGTGTATGAAGGTGCCAATGTGCTTCCATCCTGACTTGCAATAATCCTTGATATTTGTGTACTGAATGCTTGACCAAAGACCACGTCATACCAAAAAGAAGTTCTGTGATGCAAGCAAGTGGGCTGACAGCCACTTAACACTTGCTAAATAATTATTCATGTTTGCCAGTCCTGCCACATAAAGCCTGCTTTAATTCAGACGCACAAAGAAAAAACAGTCTGGTAACTGCAGCCATTATTCAAACATCAAAATCCTCATCCTTCAGGTTTTAGGTATCTAATACAGATTGTGAGCTCAGATGTTCACTGGGGATGGAAGCTTTACCTTATTATATTTAATTTATTTTTAATTACAAAATGTCAACATTCTTTGAACTATTTATTATAGAGTATAAGGAAAAAAAAAATATAGCAAGAACACTACCATTACTTATGCCCTTGACTAGCTGTCTGACTGCAGATTAGGTTAGACCTGAATTAAATGAATGCAAAGAGAAACGTGTTGCTATGAGACTCAAATCAGTCATGTGATATATTTAAGGTCTGATGACAAGCCAAAAAATCAAGACAGTTCTGAATCAAAAGCCAGAAGTCCACCTTTAACTGATTTCACTGTGTCTAGCTATTGCAGGGATACACACAGCATTGCTTGGGGTTTTAGCTTACCCTCCCTTCTAATGGAACAGCAAATGAGCCTCGAAAAGTACAATCAGGCATGAAAGGCTGAGGTAAGGACACAGAAGCCCTAAATGGAGGGGATCTTTGCATTTTCAGGTTTGTTTGTATTTAACTCTACATGGTCCACTAGAGGGCATTAAAACAGTATTTAAAGCTAGTTACATTCACTGCTCAAAGATGAAGCTACTGACCTGAAACAGTATTTTTCTGGAAACTACTGCACATTGTTTTCCTAAATTGTAGAAAAGCCACCATATTCCAAACATTTATTTCAACTAATCCACTTTCTGGTTTGATAGTACAATAACACTTAGCTTAACACACATCTTTTATGATCTAGAAAATGCCCAGAATGAAAGGTTTCATAGGTTGACTAAAGTCAGAATTTTTAATAGGCCTGCTCAGTCATCTCCAATGCATTCCCCAGGTGACTCAGGAATGGTTCCTAAAGCATTGGCACCTACAGTATTTATATAATTTATCAATCACATCTGATCAGAATTGCTTAGGGAGAATTCATATTCAAAAATATCAATATAAGTATAGGAAAGAATGGAAACAAAAGATAGACTGTATCACAATGCCTGTGTAAACTGCACAGTAGAGGCAGAATACAGAGCTGTGCCGTGGTGTAAACGTCCCTCAAATTCACTTTTGATTCAGTCCTGTGAGGTGGCAGGTCAAGATGCAAAGTTCAGCTTAGTACTTCAAACCCTCATCCACACTCAGAGGGTTTTAGACTTGTATTTTATGCTTCTCTCTCATTTGCAACATGAAAACTACTTGAAATAACGCAGAATTTGCTGATCTTAAGAGATTTGTAATCTGGCCACACCAGTTTACCCCTATTCACAGACAGACCATGAATAAAACCAACAAACTAGTTTGCAAGTATCTAACTTGCAGTATGAAAAACATCGGCCTACTACCTCTTCTCCTCCAGGGATCAAAAAAACATCAGGAGTGGATGATGCTTTCTTCAAGAGTTTGTCATAGTATGTTTCAGCGTCTATTTGCAGAACCTCTGGATCTCCTGCTAATGTATCTACCAAGTAGAGGTGACCTGTAGTTAAAATAAAACACAAGACATTTTCACTTTTTTAATGAACTAAGAAACACAAGTTTTAAAACCTCAGTTGCTCCAGCAGCTGTTTGGTGTAGCTGGGCCCTTACTGTTCCCATTAGAGCCTATTGTACAACCCTAGTCTAAAATAGTAAGGCTGGTAAAAACCTATCTATATGTTATTTACCATTTAACATGCAATTTTACAAAGTAGAACCATGATGGGATCAAATCACATTTGTCTCCTTTGAATTCAGCGAGCACAGGCTCAAATTTCTCTAGGTATAAGTAAATTGCTTTAAAGCTGTAAGAGCAAAAAAAACTTCAAAACACAGCCTGAGTTTTACTACAGTCCAAAAATATAACGGGAGAAGAATTCCAAAGCTTCCACTCTTTCTTGGAAGACTGCCCCTTTATGGGTCAGTCCAGGATCTGTTGTATATCACTAGTTTTCTCTTTCTCTTTTTTTGAGTAACTTCAATTAGGCACTTTCACAACAATGAAATAATGTAAAAAAATATTAAAATATTTACCTACATAAGAGTTCTCAAAATGGTAACCACCATCTTTTATGCAACAAAACTTTTAATCCATGTGACTCAATGCTGAAGGGTATTCATGCAAGGTATTTGTTAATTGCCTGCAAACAAAAATTACATACATTTGATGACTGTTACCTAAATTCAACATCCAACTCGGTGCTTGCAAGGAACCAAGCAACTTCTTTCTAATATAATAAATCATACTGATTGGTGGCTCATCACCAGCTCAAGAAAAAGAACATCAGAAGAAATGGGCTAGCAATACAAATAGTATTGTGCCATAGGAAGGAAATAGTTTCAATTTAAGGGGCTTTCAATCAACAAGCTATACCTGCAACCCTTGCAAGCCCTAAACTGAGGACAAAATCTTCTACCATGCTGCTATAGTTGGAATCTTAGCTCCGAATCCTCCATGGTTTGCTCTCACATGGCAGCTCCTGTGACCCAAGTTTATTGTGAAATAACTGTACTGATAGTAAGTGCAAAGTAAACAGCTAAGACAATACACAGTCTTACGAGGACCATTCCAAGAACCATCTATATTAAGACTCAAAAACTATGAATCATAAAGTACCATATTGAAAATATACCTTTCCATGTAAAAGTAGGAGCATGGGATTTGTAGTACCAGGTCAGACTATTCACCCACAATCCCACCATCCTCCCTCTGGCAGTGATCACTATCCGATTCCTCAGCAAAAGGGTAAGAAACTACAACTGATAATTCACCACCATCCAGCACTTTTTAAAATGCTTTAAACGCTATTTTCCTGCCCTTTGCAGGCAATCAGCTTACATCTTGAGGCTTGACAGCAAAACTATGTAGTCAGAATGCTGAACAGAAGCTACTCTGCAAATGGTTTTCATAGTATGTTTGTATGTGACAAAACAGGAGAGAAAGCAGCATTGCAACACTGGCAAGTTGAGTCACATTATAAAATCCCGGCCAGTACTTAGCACTGGCAGTTTTCTTCTGCAGCGGCCTTCCCCAGTGTACTGTGTAACACCATCAAGCAAAGAAGCCATATAAGGGAAAAGAAAAAAATGAAGATTATTATTTAAAACTTTAGTAATTTACTGAAGTAAATTTACTAGTAAATTAATTCTTTACAAAAAAGCAGCATGTAAGACTGAAGTTTAGCACAAAGAAAAATTTTGGCCCTGCTAATAAATACTATTCATGAGACGCTGCTTACAAGGCTACATCCTGCCATTGTTAAGCCAAAGCAATTTAAGAAGCACAATCACATTTTGTCCTGACTGAACGAAACAACTAGTACCTTCAAAGTTACACTAACTTTCTGGTATATAACATGCTTGTATTGTAAGGTAATAGTGACCATTTGAAGGAAGGATGAAATAGTGTCACAAATTAAATAATGAGGCATTAGAGAAAACTTCTGATCAACTTTCCATTAATACAGGAAGGGAGTGAGAATGAGGTTCCTTTAGTGACAATACGGCGCAAAAGTCTAACTTTAGATACCTTGGAGTATCCTCAAGAAGTCAGTTGTGCTAAGGCTGGCTTTTGTGAACACCCCCTCCCAAAACTGGTACACACACATGCACATACCACTACTACTGTTCAGCTCCCATAGGCAGGAGAAAAAACACTAGTTTGATTTTTTTTTTTTTATGTTAACTAATGTGTTTCCCAGTTTTCCCCAGTACAAAGTGAAGAAATTATATTCACCCTCTCCTGTATATGTTCCTTTTACGCTTTTTTTTTTATATACAGAAACAACAAATAAAAACCTCTACAAAATCTAACCATAACTATTGTTATTAGGCATTTGAATACAACAATAATTATTGCTGGCTAATGGGATGTTATAAAGGTTCCAAAATGAATTGCAAAATCATTTGTTAACTTCTCTTTAGAAGAAAAGCAGTGCTGTTCTCCTGTGAGTGCTTCAGTCTGAGGCCCCTATCAGCATCTTGGGATACCAAAATTGCGAAGTTCCAAGGACAGCCTTTTAACCTAATCTGAATTACAGGATTTCATTCGAATTTGATCTTACCTAGCGGCAACAAAAGACCACATTGTGGCAGCCAATCTGCTAGACACCCAGCGAGCCCTTCTTTCAAACAGGCAATGTGCACAAAGGGTTACCATCTGGGGAAGGGAGGGAGCGAGGAAGGGAGGGAGCGAAGGGGGGCAGGAGGGGTGAGTCATAAAAAGGGGGCCTCTTGCTGCAGCCACAGAGGAGGGACCATAAACCATAAGGAGAGTAAATTTAGAACGGGAGGCCTACTGCATTAGAGGGATTCCTGACATTCGCGCTGAAGTGGCTGCCATCTTAAATAGCCAAAGCTGGTAAACAAGGTCAAGACATCATCCTGGTAGATTCTACGGTGGCAGTGAAAATGAAGGGTTTACAGACAGGTACCAGACTTTGTCTTTTACAGGGCACCGGCATTCAGGACAAAGGACGAGGAAGTTTATGCAATTCCACTGGAAAACAAAACAAAACAAAACAAAAAAACCAAAAACCAAACACAAACCCCAAAACTTTTCTAGAAATAAATAAATGAGAAATCTGAATGGGCACATTTCCATTTGAAGCATACAGAATAAATTTTAAAGTAAAAACTAACACTGCTTCTGCTTCTCCTCTCTTTTGTTTCCATGGAGCAGTCCGGGCCACATTCTCAAACGAGGATGTGTAAGTGCATCTCCTCGCACTCTAGTGATTTGTCATCAATTTGCAATAAGAATCTGATTTTTAAAGTGAAAAGCTGCAGCTAAAACCAGCTATACAAACAAGCAGGTACTGCCCATACAATTCAGTCATCTTTATGAGATAGATACTACTCTAGCACCTATAGGTACCTCAGCCTAAAACGTCATGCAGCTATGCCAATAAGACATAAACCAAGGCTCTGGTTTCAGTCCTGATCAAACTCAGCTTTTTCTAAACCCACTGCTATTCCACCTCTGATTTTCTCCAGAATAGAGAACTGAATTTTATGGTGGTTTCATGAAGCGGACAAATATCCTTCTTGAGAGGTAAAAGTCAGACAAAGTTCACTTATGATCCAAAAAGATCAATATGTGGGAATCCAGATAGATCTGCTTAACATGCTTATGTTCTGCATCAGGTAGATAAATAACAAATGCGATCACAAAATAGAAGACAATATTCCACCTTAAACTAGAAATTAACTTTTGTAGATTAGAGACAGACCCCATCATTACAGATTCAGCAAGAATTTCATTCTATCAGTTAAAATAAGCAGGAAATATTTTTCCATGGGAAAAGAATTTATTCTCAATACAACAAAAAACACATGGTGCACACACTTGTACGTGAAATTCCACAAGTGAAACTACAGACTGCTGTACTGCCTAAAGGTAAGTGACATGCTTCAATCTAATCAGATATTCTGAAGATTCTTTTTGATGATACTTCTATATCCTCTGCAGCTAAACCCTATGCCATAATAGAAATAATTTAACTACAATATAAACATAACCACAGACTTGACTTATGAATATAATGCTACAGCAATTCAAATCACTATTCTATTCCTCAAGCGCTTTTTCACTAGACTAGTCATTTTAGCACCAATGTATTAGTTTTACTATTTTGCCGTTATCCAACAAAACAGTTACAACTTAGGACAATCAGTTCTGTCTCTGTAATGTGTTTTAAATACTCATTTAAGTTTCAAATTAGTATGTATTGCCAATATACTTAAGTCCTTTTTGATCACGAACCCTATACACAATTTATGAAACAAGAGATACTTGCTTTCATTAAGAATTTTCTATTCTTATTAATAATGTTTCCTTAAGCCAACAAGTTGGTGATGCAATTATTTCAGACTAGACACACCATTGGGATGATTAAGATGCGTTGAGGTATTGCTGGCACTCCCACGAAATACTTGTTGAAAAGCCCATTTCAGAAATTTGTAGGGGCATTTAGGATGCAGCCAGATTGTAAAGCAAAATACATCAACCTCACTGTAGATGAAGCATGAAAAGTGTTATGTCTGAAGTAAATTAATCATTTATCCTACAACTACTTTTTCATGTTCTGCAAACACAGAGAAGGATACTACATGCATCCATTAAGAGTTGTATGTTTACAGAAGAGCCATCAGTCACCACAGGATTTGTATCTGGGCTGTGCATCTTCCTACATTTGTGCAACTTTGTGCATATTTTTACATGTAGAAGTATGAAAAACACTTGTGTGATTTCTAGTGGTGCAGAAATAAGACAGCTAAAAATAACCTAACATTTCTAAGTTTCATTTTTTTATTCAGCTTTACCATTTCTAATGCTTGCAATAGCAATATTGGTTTTATTTATTGGCTTTATTTTCATGCCAATATGTTTCACAATTAAAAAAAAAAAAAAAAAGAAAGAAAAAAGCCTTCAGCAGATTCTGTGCGTTTCTGACAGTTCTGTGAGTTTCTTTGTCCAAGAAGTATTTTCCCTTTTTTTGTAAATCAGAGAACACTTTGCAATATGAGACAAACATACGTGCAGCAACACAAAAAGTCTGCATATCTTGCCAATATTTAGGAAGGAATGTTCTTGTAATTAAACCAGGCAATGAAGATCAGAACTCCTAAGATTTATTCTTACCACAGGTGTGTTTTTGCGGCCCCCAACAAATCACTGCATCTTCTGTCTGGTTTCTTATTGTATGTCTTATCTACCACTTCAAAAGGGTGTGACATTTTCCTTATCAGTGCCTCTGAAGTCACAACATAAAAAGACAAAGTCATATAACACAAACTGTTCTCTGTTCTCCTGTGGACTGTCACTGTCACACTATGGCAGCACAACCATGACAGTGTCTAGGATCTAAAGATAACTTTTTTTGTCCTAAATTGTGCACATATAACAAAAGTGCTTTCCATTACCCTCCCCCAGGAGTGGAAGCTCTGTGTTAAACAGCAGTGCTCAACATCAACTCTTCTCTGTTCCTTCCAATGAATTTGAACAGCTCTATGCATATGGTTATCATCAGACAACCATATTTATTTAACCTTTCAACTGAAGGAAGAGGTCTTTGGCATGTTCCTGGGAGTACATGCAGAACCTGACTCTCATATCCTGAATTTAATTAGGCAAGTACATGTCAAAAGCCCAAGTTCTAGCGTAAGTGAAACTTCAGTATCATAACAATATGTGGTGGCAACAGAGCTAGTGGGCAAAGGCTGTGGTGTGCTATCTGTCCAACACGGCAAGGCAGCTCTTAACCACATGCCGTACATCATTAATGAAAACAATGATCTTCCCCACTGCAGTGCTTTTCACCATTACTAATAGAGCAATCACTCTTAACATCAAGGATTAAAAAAAAAAAAAAAAAAAAAAAAAGCATCGGCATTAACAGGTTTCCATGTTTCAATCCAA